TAGTAGATGCTAAAATATCAAGCTTTTCTTTGCCCCAGATTGGCTACATGTGGGATTAGACTGCTCTGCTGCAGAGGTGGTGGCCCTATTTACGTGACTAAGATATCTATTCTGATAAGACTCCAGTGTGGATGCATGCACATTTCTTTCATTTCATGTGCTGTTTCTTTCATTTCATCCTTCCCACAGTGCTGATTTTTAGGGCTGATACAGTCTGTGGCCTGAAATAGTCCTCTGGTCTTTGGCAAGGGAAAAGTTTCTAACCCTTGCTGGCTAGACATGTTTTATGAACTTGGGTCCCTGTGAGGTGGTGGGAAATGAGCAAGTTCTTTAAATCAAACTGATCTAAACTGATGTTGCCATGAATAAAAAAGCCCAGATAGAGAAGATGTGCTAAGGGTATGGGTGAAGGCCTTTTAATTGGCCAGCCTTAAGTGTGTGCAGCAAGATCTTTAACTCCATTTAATGTTGTGGAAGTGTCCCATCAGGACAGGGATCTTTGCAGCCTGAGCTGCCCTTGTGCCTCTGTGTGTGTTTGCACAGTGCAAGGGGCAAAAGAAAGGCAGGAGCGAGCCTGTGTGCTGCAGGGCTCAGGGTTTGTGCCGATTGAGTTCCACAAAGATGCAGCTAAGGGGGAGAAACCTTATGTTTATTAACCTAAATAAACCTTATGTATATTAACCTAAACCTTATGCTTATGAATCTTCTTAACCTAAGGGGAAGAGGAGGGAAGAACTGGAGCAGGAGAAGGGAATAGGCAGGGAGGGAGGGAGCTGTACATAGGGCTGGAGAGGCCAGGAGCTGCATGGCCTTCCCAGCAGGCTCAGCTGGGTGGAGCCCAGCACCGCTGACAAGTGGTGTCTTTGCTGCTGTGCGGTGCTGTTCCAGGCACATTGGTTGTCTTGGTGGAGAAGACTACTTTCTTACTGCCCGTCGAAAAGCAGACAAGACTGCAGTCTGCATGGTGGAGTAGGAGGGGCAGTCATCTTCAGTCATGACTTCGAGGGCTGGAAGAGAGGAATGGAGCCACGATCAGAGCCTTGATCTGAGGGGT